CAAAAAGGCATGAGAAGAAAATATCCACATTAAATACATTTATCTACCACTGTGCAAGTCCTGCCCTAGACTGCTGCAGTTCTATTGACTTTGAGAAAGGCACACCATTATTCAGACAAGCAGAGATCATTTCTAGGAAGGCAGATTTTAAAACACTGTTTTCACACCTGCTTTGTTGCTAAGACACCAGCACATACCTTACTCATGCTTATCCCAAGGCCCAATAGCAAGCTTTTTAAAATAGAAGCATCTTTACTAAAAAGGTGTAAACCTCTCTATCAAAATCTCATTATTCTTACATTTCTAGAAAAACTAAGTTGCATCTTCTCCTGCTTTTCCCTTTCTCTGAACAGATGCTTCAACCTAACATTGTGATAAGCAATTTCTTTTGATCCCAAGCAATCATTTTTATTTACATAGTTGATAAACCAAACAAAATGCATTTCAAAGAAGAAACACGTTTGTGGCATGGGTTTTGTTTTTTATTTTTTGGAAACTTCAAAAAGGACAACCATAAAACTCATACTTTTCTTCCACAACGTTAGCCTCACTTTCTTAGTCAGCTATTGTAATAAGTTACAAGATCAATTAGGGAAGTTAGATAACAATTTCTGATGCATTAAAAATGTTACTGGGTATATTTAAAACACCACTATAATCATACACTACTGCTTTGCATTGTCAACGCTCATTTTAACTGTCATTTTATTTTCAAAGCTTGCTTTGCTCCTGCAACTGTTAAGAAAAAGAACACTTCTGAAAGCATATTTAGCTAACTTCTCAAATAGGACTTCCAAGAACATACGTTGCAGCTCAGACACACAAAAACTAAATCACTCACTGGAAGTCTTTTGACTTACCTCAGATGCAGAGTCATGCATTTTTCAGACATACTTGTAAAGATATGGATTCACAAGAAAAGGTCCACCATAAAATGCACCTTAGTTTATCTTTCTGTAACAATGCAAACTCCTGTAATAATCCTGCATGTTCAACACCACACATGGGAAGTCACACATTTATGTATAAGAGATCCTTTGCCAACAAGGTGGAACACAACATGCATCTACCAGGCATTTCGTTTTGCCAGCTGGAGGTGGGGGGTGAAAATGTCATTGCTCAGCTGTAGTGGCTACCTGAGGCAGCATCTTCTTCAACAACACCTTTGCTTTGCTGGCTCAGAAACCCCTCTTTAACTTCCCCTACACTCACTTTGTTACTTGACTTGCCGTCTTACACCAAAGAGCAATCCCTTTTATAAAAGGGCCTGACCCCTGGCACCACGATACACCATCACGCTAATCCTCTGCAAGGTGCATGAACTTCACCACTATGTCAGAAAAGATGTGGCGATGCCTCACCCCCATCTTTTCACCACCACTTACACATGGCACTAGCCATTTTCTCAACCCACCAGAACCTCTTCAGCCAGCATCCTCCTCACAGCCACGCAGGTTTGAGAGCCTGCCCTATCCCCCACCTTGCTTTACCAGACTTCCTCGCCCTAACAGGACATCTCCAGTGTGCCACAACCAGAGCAAAGGTTCTGCTGTCTATGGCCTTCTGGTTAGGGGAAGGCAGAGTCAGAGAGGGGAAGGCTCTGCAGACAGTGCTAAGCATGAAGATGGAGACACGGCAGTGCCTGATGAGGAAGAAGGCACCATCAGGACAAGACCAAGCCAGTGACAGCACGTGGCATTTTGCGTGAGAGCCGCGTGGCAAAATGTGGCTGAGGGTAGAGAGAATGAGAATGAAGTCATTTTGCAAACCAAAGCAGCTTGCTGCCAGACTCAACAGCATCAACAAGTAACGTGACAGAAGGGACTGTATCAGGAGAAGGGATGCCTGCTGTAGGAAACCAGGATGGCTCCACAGCCATGAGCTGATCTGCAACAGCTTGCACAGATACACTGATTTAGAAAGACGATGTAGCGTTAATAGATATATTGATAGGCAGCTGAGCCAAGGATGATAGCTATATTGTGACAGATTAATTACGATAATAAGCATCTTCTATGACGCATCTGAGAGTTTATCTCGGACATTAGTGTCACTTCAAGTGAGTCACTCCAGTAGAACAAGGGCCTGTGACCTGAAAGTAAATTTACATGCTATTCTTTCCCCCACATCTCTAGATAACGCCATGCCACTAACTCTGTACCACCAAGGGAAAAAAATCAGGAAGAAAACTGAAGGTAGGAGAGGTGTTAACTCCAGAGCACACTATACGCCAGAAGGTTCGCTCCTTCAGCATGCACTGACGCAAGTTGTTCCACAGATTTCAGATGCTATGGCACATGCTGAGTGCTTTTCACAGGTCGGGTGCAGAGGGGCTTTCAGATCATGTTCACTTTAAAAGCAGAAGTAGCACCAGCACAAGTTTAAGAGCCACAATGTTCTTTTTTTGTCATGGCTGGCTAGTTCCCACTACCGCAAGCAAGCATGAAACTAGCCCATGAGAGACCGCACAGGGTACTGAATGGCTCATCCAGAGCCTGATCCTGGAGGTCTTCAGCGCTTACAATTTCCAGTGAAGCCCACAGCACGCTTTCCACTACTGTGCTTGCAAATACTCAGCATCAGCCTATTAGCCTTATTAATATAGCTTCTCAGACAGGAGATGGTTAAAGTTACTGGAATTTGGTATTTTGACCCATGTGTGTCACTTGCTTGGTGGTTTTGGAAGGCTGTGGTGATGGACTCCTCCCTATGAGGAAATAATCACATGCTCAACTCAGAAATAGTTAGAGGTGGGATTTCAAAAGTACTGTGCCCTAACCTGACTCCCACAAAAACCAACAGTGAAACTCTCAGTGACTTTGACCCAAACACAGTTTGGCCAGAGTTGGTAACTCCTGAGGATCCCACCCTACCATCAAGTTTTGCTTCTCTTCGTTTAAATAACAGTGATAATAATAGGATCAAAGTTATCATTTATCATTAACTGGATACCCAAAATACAAGGACAACACAAGAGTTTATGGGGCAGGTATTCATAAATGAGACTTCAAGTGATTTTCTGTGTAGATACTCATATGTTGATTCCTGGAATTATCTTTTCCTCACATATGCTGGATAGACTTCTTTTTTAAACATATTGGCAATAGCAAGATTCTTAATTACTGAACCCTGCTGTCTGTGACCATTTAAAAAAAAAAACCATAAAAAACCCCCAACCCTACCCGGGATCATATTATTATTTGTATATTTGTGCCCGAAGACACTTGCTGTCCTTCCTGTGCACATACCCTGCAGATAACATCTAAGAACTGTCCCAAAGGGACCTTTCAAAGCAGAGCAGTTCATGCCAACAGAACAAGTAAATACCTGCAACATTTTAGATGGGGTACTAGCATGCAAGAAAGATAGACACATCGCTATTTTATTACTTAGCAGTTTGTTTGCCATTCTGAAGCTGCAAAATGTAAGAGGTAAGAAGGCAACAATCACTGCTGAAACAGCAACTAGAAGAGAACAAGCTAAATCAAAAGATTGTTGAAGAGTCAAGCTGACCGGCTCCTAGTGAAATTTCAACAAGCTCCAAATCAGTACCTAGCCTGCAGTTTCATTAAACAAACTTGAATCTTGTTGCAAATGCAATATCCAAAGTTGAACCAAATTGCACATTAATAAAGATGGGAAGACAAAATACAAATTTGTTGTCAACCGTGTGGAAGTCTTTATTTATTAGTTTATTTTTAAATGAACTCTTGTTTCGTTCCCTAGGAATGACAGTTCTCGAAATTATTCAGTGGAGGAAGGACAGAACAACTCAGAACAGGTATTGTACCACTTCACCTACACACACTAAATTAGGTGCTAACTCATCCCAAAATATGTATTTGTTCAAAGCAAAGAGAAAAGCTTGCAATTATAAAAATTGATGAAGGGAGAAATAATCTTTTAAATCCTACACAAAGTAATACATCCACTTTATTTATTGAATACTGCTGCTAATATATTGTTATTCAAACATTGCTTCAGCTGACAGCTGTCAGTCATGTTTTATGTCTCCAAACAAGCTTTTTCCCAGGTGACCCACTTAAAAAAAAAAAAAATGCCAACAAAAAAACCCATCACCAAACCTCAGCCCAACCTTTTTAATTATACAGAAGTTACGTATGGTCTCAGGTAATAAAACGTTCCATACATAGGGAATAAGTTCAAACCCAAGCTCCTAGGTCAACGAGATGCTGAACGCAGCCTTCTTTTGCTCATCTTGATTCACTACTACTTTCCCCTTGTTACTTTTAAATCATTGCTCACTTTCCTTTCTCCATCAATCACCTTTACCACCAAACACCCCTACCCTCCAACACATGCAATTCTCTAAACTTTATCCTTATAATTCACATGATGATCCTAACTGATGCCCTCATCAAATAAAAGCAGCACTCCCATTTCTTTTGTGTATTTAACCTATTAAGATTACCTCCAAAAAATCAGTAAAATAAAATATAATTTACTTTTCTGTTTTCTGTTTCAGCAGACAGAGTAACCACCAAAACTAGATTTCTGTCTCTCTTAGGCCCTGAAACTAAATGCTACAGTTAAACCGATACAGTGAGAGCTAACAAAACTAGAGCAAGTATTCTGATTTCAAGATTGTCAAAGTTGAAACAAGCGAGAGTTAAGTAAAATTTCTAAAATTCACTGTTATTTGAGAAACAGTGACAACACTTGCACAATTTCATCACAGTTTCTAGAACTAAGTTCTGCTGCAGTGAATATTGAGGTATAAAAAAGTTTAGGCGCGTACATATATGCAGAGGTTTTACGCTACTGTTAATAAGGTATTCATGGAATTGCAGTAATTTTCAGATTTCTAATTGTTGTAGAAATCAATCTACTAAGATTGGAAACTGAAGAGTTATCTCACATTTGGAAAGGTCAGTAAGACTATAGAACAACACCTTCCTAATATCATTCTATTTTAAAAAATAATATCTTTTTTTTAAAAAGATAATGAAATCTTTGTTATTAAATCCAGTATTTCATGAAATGCTCAGGAAACGTAACAGTTTAGTTCTTAAGGAACATTGTTTCTATTCTACTTACCTATAATCTATTTTAAAAACTCCAACTTCATTTTAACTTGTAAAAACCGTCATTTGGGGTTTTTTAGTAGAACACGTAGAATTTCGCAGTAGCGAAATGACACATCTATAGGTGCTACATGTCAGATAATCGGTCAGCAACTGAGCATAGGATCTCTAAAGAGCATACACAAATTTAATCGCACAATACCAAGAATAATTTCAACTCCCAACAGGATAAGGTACAAAGAACAGTACTGTGAGGCAAATGCAGCACCTATATGGATGTTTGCTCCTTTGTAATGGTCAAAGAGGTTCTGAAGTCATTAAGAACGATGCTCAGTTTGATTACACCCTAAATCATTCTAACATACAGCTTATCCATGAAAGAAAACTGTCCAGTGATTTTTATATAAAACCGAGTACTCTAGCAAAACAGTATGTATGAGAATAAGAGGAAGGACTGAAAATGCTACTCATTATTTCACGTTTAACGGGTTTTCCAAGTAATGTTTTATAGAGATGTTCTTCAGAACATTGTCCCTGCCACTGCTATATATACAACATTTCTGAGGTTCTAGTTAGCACTGGAAATCTGAATCTAGAGCTTCAGATGTTAGAAGGCGAGGACAGGGGGAAAGAACCTCAAATTACAAAATTTCTATTCTCCAAGGGCAGGGGGGAGGGGAAAGAGAGTTGTAAAATAAATAAAAAAATTTTAAAAGAGCAGGATTATTTTTGGCATTAAACCTCTCTATTTAAATTTATGTAAAGATACCATCAACGACTTCCAAGAAATTTTTTTTAAACCTAAACCCCTAAACTTAAATTTGTGAACCCAGATGCAAATAGAAAACCTCCAGCACCTGGCAAGTTCTTTCAGGTTAGTCAAAAACCATGTGTTAATTTGAGTCGTCACATCAACAGATGAGGGCAGGAGGACTTATTTTTGTTTAGGGGCATTTCAGCAAAAAAGCTAAAGTAGGAAACAGCCATCAGAAAGCTTCGTCAAGCCAAACAAGAGTTTATCAAGGGTTTTGTCCAGTAATGCACCAAACTGAACCCACTAAACTGAAAACCGTTCAACCGTTTCTTTGTCCTTTCAGTTACTTTCTGTAGCAATCACCATTGGTGCCGATTTTATTAATGACTCAGAAAATACATTTGTGTTTCAGCAAAAAGCAACCACTAATTGACTTTAGTGAACAACGCACTCAGGTTTGGTTTTGAAAAATATTATAAATGAAATTGAAATTACATGAAGAATATGAACAACAGAAAGCGGGATGGTCCTGCAATAGAATTTATACATTTGGCTTGTGTTATCTTGAATACTACATTGGTTTTTACAAGTCATGGGTTTTTTTTGCGATGTTTGTTCATGGTTTTCTTGGGAAGCAGTCTCAGTGACACTTTTGAAAAGTCCGTATCATTAAGGCTGGAATGTGCCAATCACAAATATAAAGTGTCCTGTTAAAGCCCTCCTTCCCCACCTTCCCTCTCCATCACACTTTCAAGAGGGAAACATTGAAGAGTTAAGGATTTTACTTTACTTGCACAAAGAGCTGCACATATTATTTCTAATTCTAACCCTGAATTCCAGTTCTAACCTGGCTCATCTGAAGGAATGCAGAGCAGGAGAAAACACCACTGAGTTTATACTAAATTGTGGTTTATCTCCTTTAAGACACACCAAGAATATTTACAGGACTACATACTTCAGCAGAGAGGAAAGACATTGTTAGTCTGCCTTGACTAGAGGACATACTCAAGCCCCCAGGCATGCCAGGGCGTATTTAACAGCTGAGCACTACCCATCACACTTGGTCCCTGAACCCTCCAGGGGACCTCTGAGTACTACAATAAAACAATATATCCCACCTGCCTCTTTCTTTCAGGGAATGCCGGAACATGATTGCTACACCTCTGGAATATGCTCACATTACAAGCATGGATTAACAGTCCCCACATCATCTCCTCTGCACAGAGGGGGTCAGAGCATTTGCTCTGTTATCACCAACACTATATTCAAGCGCTGAGAAACACCACGCATTAATGGATCTAAACATCTCTCATGCAAATAGCTCGCCATTGAAAGCTTCGAACGGTCCTCATCCTCTCCTCCTGCCATCTGCCACTAGAAGAATGTGTTTCCCCTGACACAGCTACCGTGTGCTGAGCAATTCAAACAGTGAACTAACTTAGTGCACTGCCAGAGCAGCCAAGGGTACCTCATGATGAAGGCCTAGCCTGACTCACTTTAAAAGCCGGTTTGTGGAAGTCTCTTGGAGGCTTCTTAGTGGGCTACCAAAGTAATCTTTGAAAAATTAGTCAGAGCTCCCAACTTCACAGGCAGAGCCAAAGCCAGACAGGGCATTACTTCAAACTAGAGAGAATCTTCTGGTGCTGCTGCACCTGAAAGAAAAATGGTAGCTGTTTTGCTCAGCATGGTCTTCTGAAACATCTCATGAGGGGAAACCCTTACCATGAAAAAACAGTGAAACAACATAGAAGAAAGTTAAGTTTTTTACTAGAAGAAGTGCTTGTACACTTCCTCTTGATGATAGCATAAAGGCTGAAAATTGACAGCTTCCAGCACTGGTGATAAGAGCTTAGTGCTCTAGATGGAAACGCAACAGTCTGACTTTACTAAATTATTAATTTGCAGAGCTGATCTTTACACAACAGGAATGACCTTGTGATATGACATTAGCAACTCTGATTTTGAAGGCTGTCTTGCCATTTCCCTCTTCAATAGTCCCCATAAGTCTTTGGGCTGGATACCAAAGACAGCAGAGCCCGTGCAGAGAACGTGTTGCCCAGCCATACCCAGCAGGGACTTACCATGTCATCAAGACACAATTTTCATATATGAATGGCCTCCTGCAGCTCAAGACTTCTGTATGCTATCCAACACCATAACATGGTTTTAATAGACTGGCAGTTCTCACTGGCTGAGCAGCATCTGTCCAGAATTAACATATGCTTTTTTCTACAAAAAACAAACAAAAAACCCAAAAAAACCACCCAAAAAAATCCCACCAGCAGGGCTGATTGGTTTCCCAATATTTCCCTATTTAGTTATTTTGCGTTGAGCAGTGATACGCTTCAGAGTCCGGATAAATCCTTTCTGGGCTGGTGTCTGTGTGAGGATATTCCTTTGGATTACAGAACCAATGACTACAGAATCAAACTAAGGCAGCTTTCAGCACTTCCAGAGCTATCAGCCAGGGGAGCTGGGACACAACACGGGAACTGTTTCTTTTGTTTTAGCACAGGGTAATCCCTGTTACACACACGTACAAAAAATGAAGTCAGTCCCAAACGTGCAACCATGAGAGAAAGAAAGAAGTTTCCACAAGTTTCCAGAATTGGAAAACTACAAGGAGATGATGCTATTCCCCTTCAAAACTTCAGTAAAAGCTCTCCCCATAGTAAACCTTATCACATTAAGTGCTAACGGCAGATACGATAGGTTTCTATAGCAAAAACCAAAATACCTGCAAAAATACTATCCACAAACTATGCTAAGCAGATTACTTGCATTGTGCCAGAGCTGCCAGTTCAGTTCCTCTATAGCTTAGTTCGCTTTCCTTTTCTAAAAAACTGCACATGTATAGTCTAAAGATCATCTGTAAACATGCGAGACTATCATGCCCAGCTAAAACTGCTTTAGGGTTTACAATATCCAGCCAGGCTTAAAAAACACAAAACGAGATTCCAGATCGTAATGCAAGCTGATATGAATGCATTATCTATACAAGGTCTGCAGGCTATGACCATTTGATCTTAGAAACATTTCTGGTTTTGATAGGTATTCAGTCATTTAGCTCTTCACTTTCCTCCAAAGGTCTGGGTTTACCAGCCAGTCAGATACTTTTTTTTTTTTCTTTAATTCATAAACTTGATCCAGCACTTCCTCTTGTGATTTCCCCAGCTGCAACTTTCTCATCCTTATAACCTTACAAAACAGGTATATCACAGCATTCAGGAGAGACAAATCTGGTGCAGAGAAGTTATACAGCTTCTTCGTAGCATCCTTATTTTTCTACAACTTCTATTCCTCACACTTACTGGTTCTGTTCCAGTTACAGCATCTTTTTGTTGCCTGTATTCTATTAAGGCATTTGACTGTTTACTCAGGGAGTATGAAAGATTGTTCTAAAAGATCAGCAGACTTTAACTGCGCTCTTCCCTTTCAGTTCAGCTTCTTAGATACTTAGTATTTGAAACCCGATTTCTACTCTGATTAAAATTTTAAGATTTGCAAAAAAAAAAAATTTGAAAATTCTTTATAAGATGACCTGGCCTGTGAAGTTTTTATTTTCAAAGATACAGTTCATTTAAGTTGTGCTAGGTGCACAAGCTAACAGTTTAGTTCAGTCAGCAATTAGCTCTTCTCCACTTTCCCCACCCCTCCACCCACCTACCAAATCAACACTTATTTAGGCAGTCATAGTCATCAGTTCAGGAAAAACAGGAGGAAAACCACTGCTCTGGAATTAGCATGTACAAGATTATATTGTTGATGGCATCAGAATTAAAAAATAAAAAAAAAGCAATAGATAACTGTCCTCTGTAGGTGCTCTGGTTAACTATGAACGGGGAGGGAAACCCATAACCTATACAGCTAGTATTTTAAGAAATTAGAGAAAAAGAAGAGTGAATGTTTCATAGGCATCACAGAGTATTTTCTCAGCAACCAGAAAACACTACTGCAACATTCAAAAAAATACCATTGAGTGCTTTGAGATCACTCTTTTTGTTTGAAGAAGAAATCCCACAATCAGTAAGGCTTGAAACAGAACCATCTGATACATGAGTATCTCAGGGACACAAACCAGCTAATCATATGAAATGAAGATGCCTAAAACTTAGGACAGCTTTGGCACTGAGCAGGGAGATGACAATACCCCCTCAACCTAAAAAACTGTGCATGTTTTGTTGGGATTTCATTTACTTACGCTTCATCAAATGACTTTAATTGAAACTATTACATATACTGATACCCTCTTTCCTCATCTGAAAAAACCAACACACTAAAAATAAAAACAAAACAAATATTCTGTAGCAACAGAAAACAAAGAAAGAAAACTGACATGCATATAGAAGCGGCACACATGCAAAAGCCTACTCTTAATGCAATTTGTTGTAACCAGAGTGAACGGCGGAAAACTTTTGTGGCAGAGGAACAGACACGAAAGCCAAAAGCTGATTTAAGATCTACATTACTGTGATCATTACGATATCTCCAAGATGACTGCAGCATACAGAGCTTCCTGCGATGCAGCAGCGGTCAGTCTGACAATGATAATGCTATAAATAAATTAATGCCGAAGGACTCCACAGCCACAGGCAGCTGGTAACAGGATTCATACATTACTAGATCAAACTTCTGGTGCAGGTCAAGAGCAACGGCAAAATTACTAGTAACTGACAAATGTGTGGTGGACCGTGTGAAAGAAGCTGGTAGTTTCAATCCATTTCCTGACTGACGGACAGGTGTCTATAATGCACACAGTCACCACAACTGGCACCTCAAAGCATCACAGATGGACAAAGGATTGTGAAATGCTCTGACTGTAAAGTGCAAAGCTCAGAGACCCCTGTAACCCAGCCTTACTTGAATCAACCTCCACACAAAAATGGAGCATTCGAGAAAATCCACTGTTGCCTCAGGCAATATATTTCAGCAGTTACTTACCCTCACAGTTAGAGCCTTGCTTACTTCCAGTCTGAATCTGTGTGACATCATTTGTCAGCCATGCATATCATGCTGTTTTCTAAGGTGGATTCTCTGCATGGGGACCCACAGACTGTCATCAGACCATCCCTGCCTCTCTTTGTGGACAATACCTCTCTGGGACAGGGCTTAAATGACTGACTGACCTTCTAGCACCCTTCCTCCCCCAGGACTCGTGCTCTTCTCCTTCCTGCATTACCCACTGCCCAATGCACTGGAGGAAGCATTCTTGCTTTTGCCAGTATTTAAGCATGTGTGCGTATGTGTGTGGTTGAGAAGGTGGGGGGGAAGAGTAAGAGTGAGGAATAAGGATGCTGCAAGTTCAGCTGCTTGGACATAACTGTCCAACACAGCACATGCTTTCCAGAATGGGATGCAGCTGTTTTCAAGCAGCTGCACAATCCATATCAACATCCTTTGTGGTTTGGACCCACATTCATCTCCATGCAACATCCCCCAGGAACAGGGTTAAACACCTGGAAATCCACAGAGAAACACTCTTAGCTTCAATGGACCTGCAACCAGATTCTTACAGGCAAGACTAGCAAGATTTGCCTTTACTTCCTTCATTTAGGTCAGCTGGCACAAAATTTGTTAGACTCCAGACGTAATGCAGCAGAGAAACACCTAGCTAGCATCCTCTGAAGCAACAGAGAGAAGAATTGCTCAGGATTAGTTAAAAGTGCTTCCACATTCTCTGTGGGTACTAAGTGACTGCACCAACTTGGTTAGGATATATGGATATCCCAGTCAGACCTTTTTGTCTCCAACCCCAACAGCTGTTTATCCTAGCTTTTAAAAGGGAGTTCTACCAAGAGATCCGACACAGTCACTGCCACATATACCATTATTTAAAGCACACTCTGAGATACCCATTTCCTCATCTGCCTTTCAGCGTCTCTCACATTCTGAGCAGAGATGTTAAAACCTGAACTAGCTGAGAAATAGATTAGAAAGCAGATGGCAAGAAACCTAATTATTCTCCTCTGTATATGGCTTTTGTGTGGATTTGTAAAACATCTGTGAGTGTTCCAAGGGCAGCTATCCAAACTGCTCTGGAGGAGCCAACTTGATTCACCGGGGCTATTGCCTCTGTGCCTCTGCGGGAACACACATGATGCTGTTAGAGACTGCTCTTACTCAGGGGGTGACTCTGTGCATCTGAAATAACAAACCTTGTTCCATGTGGCATGCAGTCCTTTCTCTTGGACATGTCACCAGTCACCTATAGTTTTTTTCTGGTGGAGTTATAAACGTGCATCTTTAAACTACAAAATGCTTACCTAAGTGGTTAAGATCCTATATAACAATGGTGTACTTCATTGGAATAATAGACTTAGGATGCTCTCGAAATATAAATTAATATCAGGCTTGGTTTTATTAGAGGACAAATTTCCTTGAAACAGTTTATACAAAAAGTAGGAAGGGGCAATATTGCAATATAGTTCAGACCAGATTTTGGCAAATTCCTTCCAGTCTAAATCACTTGAAGTCTTATGAAACAATTCTATGTCTTGTACTTAATGCAGGCTGCCAATGTCTAAAGGTATAAAAAGTCTTAGAATCCAACTGATTTTTAAACCTACTTTTTCCAGTTATTCCAGCATGAAATTACACAATAACTTCCTAAGGCCAAACTTTGATTATGAGCCACCCAAAAATCAGACATCCATGAGGGTCTGTAAATGATCATTGAGATAATGTCTAAAACCAAATTTCAGTAAGAAAACACTCTTCTTTCTTTTTTTTTTTTTGTCTTTTTTTCAAGTTACTTGTCAATAGGCACACACTATGAAACCTAGACCGATACAACAAATATTTCTTGTGAAACTCTTCAATCATTTTCTAGTAAGTTGGTAAGCTATGCGGAACTAAAGCAACGTATATCCCAACACTGCAGTATATAAAGCACAGAGGAAAGCATGCTTTTTTACAAGGTACTGTGAATATTTTAAACACAATAGAGTAAAAATTGTCTGTAACATCACAGAGAGGGGCAATGCTGTAAGTTACCGAAGTAGAAAATAATTTTACAATCTGTAGCAGATTGGTGTTCACCACATCCATTGGCATTTGCTTTTACTTCTTGAGCATGGACAGTGAAGCCAAGTTTGTCATTTTCATTCTCCACCCACCACTTATCAGCTTTAATTACTGTATCAGAAGTACTATTGCATCAAAACAGTCATTACTGAAATTTCAAAATCTGACAAGCAAGATGTGGGTCATTTGCCACCTCTGAGAGCTAAGGTATGCAACCATATCTGTGTGTTCTACAGGCAGCCAAAAAAAAGGCCAACTTCTGTTTGACAACATTACTACAACACTATTGAGTTTTCAATATCTAAACCCACTTACCTTCCATGGCTTGCACAGAAAGCTTTGTTTAATGAAATATTTGTAGCATTTCCTATAGGTTGACTAGGAAATACTTGAGATAACAATATTGTTAGCAAAAGACAAATGCAACTACCACAGTTGAAGAAAGGGCAGCTTTTTACAGATGATCAACATTCACATACATAAACACATACAAAGCAGGCAATCTCATGAAAAAAATAAAAAGATTCTCATACCACTGCAATTGCATGTTTACAGGTCTGAATAACATCAGACAGATCTCTGAACACAAATGTCAGTCCCTACTTTCCAAGAGTGAAATCTGGGGGGAAAGGGGAAGAGGGAGACACATAAGGAAAGCATTCCCACTTGATTTCAGTGGACTTGACAAGGAGCCCCAAGCCAGTATGTATACACAAGCTATAAACAAACCTACCTACAACCTGGCAAAGATGTAAGTAACAAAGGAAGTAACACAACCTAACAGATGTTTTCTAGGCCCTTGTTCCTAAACAGAAACATTTATTTGCAAACATGCAACGCAGTAACACCATGACTGATAAAGTAATTAACAATCAGTTCAGCTCCCAAACAAATGGAACTTGCAATCCTTCCAGTACTTTAAGAACTGGAGAAAAGTTTTAACAGTTTTCCAGATCACCAGCACATGAAGGAATGTATTGCATGCTGAGAAAATGAAGGCACAGTTGGAGAAACATTTCTTTTAGATGCAGGGGTGAATAAAGCAAGTCCATCCTCAACCAGCCACTACTTGTTCCCCTGTCCCTGTAACTTTTGAGACACTATCGCAAACCAGATTGGGAACAGCTCTAGGTAAATATAATCCTTCATGTGTTTTGTGGGGGTAGCTAGAGGAAGAAATGGTGACTTGGTTATATTTAACCCACAAAAGCTCCCAGATCTATTTACCATGCAGCCCCACAAACAGATGCACCACCACAAGCGAAGAGGTGGCATGTGGGCTGCCAAAACTACCACCACAAGAAACACTGGTCTGAGGCTGCAGCTGATCTGTGCCATAATTAGTCTTCCTACTTTTCTAATCATGATAATAAAACAAAGCAAGCTTCTATACATTTTAGAGAACAGCACCCTAGAGGAAACATTACATCTCCTTACTCAGAACAACTGTTTCTCTCTTCAGCTAAGAGCAGGCTTGAAATTCAGTATGTTTCAGACTTGACAAGCATCAGGCACAACAGAAGTCAAATGGACAGTACAATAAAGTCAACAGCTAAAGCTCTGCTTCAGCACACTTGTCAGTTCAAGGTCAACCCTGAATTCACCATTAACTTCATTTTGGTTTTAATCGGCACATACTAGGGACACATTTTATTCAGCTTACCTACTGACTTGCCTGGGAGAGGTGGAAATTCTGTAGTTTAAGGACTGATTTCACTAGAGACTTTTTACATGAAGAGAAAGAAAAACAGAGATTCCCAGCAGCATCTGAGGGGCAACAGCAGCAACTGCCCTACCCACTATTTTGCCATATTTCACAAAAAGTGGAATGCAGGGAAGGAACAAACAAAATTAAGGGGACAACAGTTCCCAACTTAAATCAAATAGCAGGATTTTAAGGTGTAGGAAAGCCCAGCCAAACTCCTCTCTTCCTAAGGCAAGCTGGCATAAAGAAGAAAGCACCACAGCCCAGCACAGGAGACCTGCAGCCTGTTCCCAGCTCTTACAGATCAGCTTCCCTTCAGCAAAATGGGGAATAACACTTCATGTTGAAGTGCTGGAGACCTACAGATGCTCTGCTTTATTAGATGTATTATATGAGGGAGCACTTGTTTCTCCCACACCCTAAGCGTAAATAAGGCTATTTTACACAGAAAAGGACTGCAAAGTTCTTACAAAACCATCTGCTATGAAGATTCAAGAAAGGGGCCCAAATACAAAGGATGGGTGGTAGTGGGGAAGGGGGAGAAGGAATGTTGTTGTTTATGTGATGCTTGAACTCCACACAAAAGGAAACTTACCTTTACTATTAAATTAACAACATAATCCCACTATTGTGTTACACTGATTGACACTGTAGTTGTCTCTTCCTTTGTCAGCTAGGCTTCTTGTTGTTATAACAGCAGCAACAACAAAATCTGTGACTGGATCCCAAAACTACAGCTGTCAAACATTTCCACAAGAAAATCAGTCTCAAAACACCAATTATACAGAACAAGAAATTAACCCCAAGATGACTATAACTGTCAACTACAAAGTAAGGATTTACATAGAGTCCCCCACACCTCTTACCTCGAGCATAGGGCGGGCACTGTCGTGGATTGAAAGAATGTGCGTAATGTTATTCTTACTCAATTGCTCTACATCTCGGGCATCTATGATAAAGGGAAAAAAGGAAGAGAATTTCTTTAATCTCTTGAAATAGCCCACTCCCCTTCCCCTTGTGCATGTTGAAAATCACAGTTCTTTTTGAAGCTTCACAAAGTAAAGCAAAACCCCAAATGCAGCTGTTCTAGAACACCATCATCAGAGTGGGTAACGGGAAGACACACTTCTAACTCCAAAACAAATTATATACTATATAAAGAACAAGCTTCAGTGACTCAGGAATGTGTTCTTAAGTCAGAAGTTTCATGTATTTTGCATCTGAAATATAAGTCTGTGTACGCCTGTGTGCAGGTGATGGCCATCTGAACAAGCAGTCAGAGCTGTACAAGAAATAGCTTACCTCCTCTCTAGCCACAAATCCCCCTTCAGGAGATATATTTTCACTTGGGAGATAGACCTTGTGATATCCAGGTCTGAGAAGTGAAGCCAACCGTATCACTTGAATTGAGGTATTAACGGGCAAGCCAAAACGAGAACTAGATTCTCAACGTCCTGCGGACTAGTAGGGAAAAATGTGCATTTAGACAATACATACCATAATTTTAAGTCTGAAGAGAGATAGAGACGATAAAGATATCGAATGTATGAAAAAGCAAAACGCTACAGCAAGGAAGTGCAGTTGTGAAAAGGTGGTTCCTAGACCTGCAACCAAGGGGTTTCAAACATTCAAAACTGGAAAGCAAACTGGGACGACTGAAAATATGATGCTAGATATTGCGAAAGCATAGGTTTGTTTCTATGAGAAAGAAGGTAAAATAGATTCCCTCTCATCAGTGAGCAACTTCCCCCATACTAAACCATTAGCACGCCAGCAAATGACCTCCAAGAACAACTAATACAGGTAAAAGTTAGTTTGTGTCCATTTACTTTTGACCTTTTCGCTTGAGAATGGCACAGCACACCATGGCAATTACAGCAGTGGTTTTGTGATGCGAACACCTGCCTTCCAAATCTGCCCATGCAATCTGTTCACATTAGCCTGGTTGCACACACAAAAAAAAGAGCACTGACCACAAAGGTTTCAAACCGGCTCTCTCTAGGTACAAAAATAACAATAGCATCACCTGTACATTCTTTATGTACGTGCAAGAGTTCAATTAGCATCTCTTGCTTCACCTTATTCCACTCTACTATAAAGTTTCAATGCCTTTTCTACATCACAAAGAGGAGTTGGACATTTAATTATACTGCCCCATAGACAAGATCCATGTAAGCACAGTAAAAGGCAATTAAATTTAAACCTAATCCAATTGTGAAAGCTTCTCTAGGGCTAATAAAATGGAGAGAAGAGTCAAAACTACATTGATTTCACTTGCTACTGGTCAAGCCTTCATGATCAACGCAGAGACCTAATCCTTCAGAAGTGAATTAACACAAATTCTGACCGAAACAGAATTAAAGTCTAGCTTCAGAGAACAATTAAAATTTCCTAAAAATCTCAGAGTGAGCATTTCGAAGAAGAAACACTAATGTATGCCAGAAGTCTTCTAATCCACCTGACCTTCAGATTTTTTAACAGTTTATAGGACAGCCTTGATTCCTCTGATGAAGCCAGCCTAAACATCCCTAAAAATCACTGCTTTCTGTTCTCCAAAGGCTAAGGGCAGATTTCAGAGCCTGCTGGCTGGAACTCATGGTGTTAACGCATACCTAGCATAACAAGACCCCAGTCTCTGATTATCAGTATGACCCACATGGTAAGAAATGGCTTGCTACACAAGGCAAACAGCTTTAAAAGTGATATGATCCAAATTAAATGTTGACTGCTTTGAACCAACCTGAAAGGCCTAGTGGACACAGCACAACTCAAAAGGACTGAAAGATTTTAGTTTTTCAGTTAACCAAGGACATAGGTTAAAGGAATTTCAACAAATCAAAACTATACAGTAAGACTGTGAGATTTCAGATATTCCTCGAAACAAGCTGGAAATAGCTATCCCAGACCTGCATCCCAGGGTAGCCAGCAGGTCCTCAATATATTTAGGAAACAACGATTCAAATCATAAAAGTAGAGGAGAAAAAGCTTCCCAGCCAATGACTGTATTATCTGGATCTAAACTTTAAACAGTTCACAAAGGGGAAATTCCCCTGGTTCCCCTGGCACCTGCCATAAGTCTCTACAAATACTACAGACAAAGCTATTTAAACAGCAGTACAAATGAGATATCCTGTCACTCACGGTCTCATACCACAAATTACAAAAAAAAATTAAGGGGTTATTTAAAGGACCACCAAAAGCCAGAAGAATCTCTGTTATCACAGCAATTCTAACTCCTTTACCGTAGCACAGTGCTGTACAACCACATGCAGGCTCACATTTTGAAATCACTGCATGAAACACCCCATTTCCAAATTTAAAGATGAAAGAAACCTATTGGAGTCCATCTTGTGCATCCCTAAAGGGTCCGTCAAATGTGGTGGCATTCTTCACAGTAAGTTACCTAGTATTCTGTTTCATACAGCAAACCACTTCACTGATGTGGACTTTTGAGTAAAGCCTTCAAGAAACTCTCCCCCCCCCATGAAAGGACACAATTCACACTGGAGAAGCCTTCCTCTCTCCCTCCCAAACCCATATTTAGCCTCTTTTCCCTGAGTTTCATTCTATGACTCCTAGCTTAACCTCTACACATGTGCAGAGAGCAGCAAACACCGAATTGCAAAAGCAACAGCAAAGTCATCAACATGGGACGCGTGTGTGTCTGTCTCTCAAAAATTCATTTCTGGGAAAGCGTTACTGTGTGGCTGGGGAGCAAATCACCCAGCATATCGTGCTTCCATCCCCCATATGCAAAAGGGAGACAATACTGCTCTAGTCACCCCAATTAAGACATATCAATGACTGAAGGACTCCAATACCAGGGTGTTTTAGTACCTCCACAGAGATGCAAGGTGAGGAATAAAGATTTCTCCCTTTATAGAGTTAAGCGGGAAGAAACAGCTATAGAGTCTTTTCCACCTCTACTGCTAACAACAAAATACAAAAGTATCCTGCCAGGAATGAGAAAAAAAAGCATTACAGTGATATGGGCCTGACCTGCAACATTTAACTGCAACTCACTTGTGACTTTAGAAGATTAAATGTCTTCACAAAATAAGTGAGATTAGTTTATTTTCATTTTGTCACCTTTCCTCCCATTAGCCAGCTATCTCAAACTAAAGACATCCTCTCTTCTTTCTCCTCCAAAGCCCATGTTTCTGACTTTGTTGTTAGTCTGAAAAGACAGACATGCTCCTATAACACAGTAAGCTAGTAAGTATTAAGTTTTCAGTATAAAATTTTAGGTTATGTATACAAAAACAAGTAAGTGCTTAGAGAAGTACGTACAACAGTATTAAGTCGCAATCTGCAGATGCATAGACTACATTTTTATCATCACCAGATTTTTTTTTTTTTTGCTTTTTTTAATAAAGCAACTTTTTGTCTACACTTTATTTTCTGCTTTGGAGAGAACTAGAGGTAGACACCTAAAGGAGAACATCATCTCTAGTGGTTCAGAGCACTAAGAACTATTACTGAGCATGGTTTCCCATCAGGAGAGCTTTGTTCCAGAGTCCAGTGATCCGCACTTTCAGAGACACAGACGCTAAGCACACAAACCAAAACTTTACATCTCCTTTCCCCACTTCACACTATGTTCTAATATATATTTTGTCCCAGGCTCTCAGAAGGACCTTTTTGGAGAGCAAGAAAGGTGGGGAAAAGAGTCCAGTACTGTTTAATGAGAGTACCTATAAAATGTCTTCCTTCTGGTATCTTCACTGTCTCCTGTTTTCAGTACCTGAAATAAAGCCCTAGGAAAGGGAACTTTTCACCCCTAAAATTAAGCAGCTGATAACAGGAATTAATTTAATCTAGAAACACAGCAGAATCACTTGGTAGGCATTGCCTTTTTATACCATTAGTAATGGGAAGTGCAGAAACTTTCCCAAGACTCTCCAGCTCATCCACAGCAACACTGGACTCTTTGGGGGGAATTAAACCTCATATTGTGGCTTTCCCCTTCAAATCAAAAAGCCCCCAAATATTCCATTGGAAAAACTTGAATCTTCCAAATATGATTACAAGCAAGGAAGGACACAAGCTCTGTAATATTCAAGGTAGAAACACTCTTGAGTCTCTGGTGCTCAATACTGCTACACCTTTCAGTTCGGAACCAAACAAGCATTCATTTAGAACCTGTCAGAAGAAATGGTATTTTTTTCTATTTGTGTAGAGAAGCAGGGTAAAAAGCCCTGTCGTATCAGTCCTCTTAAGGAACAAAGCACCTATTCTCGTCGTGAGCACAAGTGCCTTTCAAGGGACATCAGGTTTCCAGCACAGACGACACATAGGCATGCAATCCCACAATAAACTGTCTTTTGAGAGGATTGAATTTCATCTGTAAATTACAACTGGAACAACCCAAAATTTCCCCCAAACTGGGAAGCAGCATTAACTTCCTCTTTCTCCTCCCTCATTTTTCGCTCCGAGGCCCCCACCCTCCCATTTGCAAAGAAATAACTCCTCCTTGACTTTCACTAAAGAAGCCCGAGAGCCAGTTTCCTTCTGGGCTTTCAGACCAAACACAGTCTTGGTATTTTGTATGGACATCTGTGGTTCTTCTTGGATTTTTCTGCCCTCTAGCTGTGCAATCTCAAATACACTCTCTCAGAAACATACCACAATTTTAGTGTGCTATTGATGAGCAGAATCATGTGTATAGATCTTATAAGATAACAAGCACTTAAGCACATGCCCAGATCTATGCTTTTTCAGGAAAGTTTTCCAGAGACATACTCAAGTCCTGTGGTCTTAGGGGGATTTCAGCATGTAACTCAGTGCTTTCCATGATCAGGGCTACACATAACTTTCTACCCTAAAGACCCTAAGGTGGTTACAAAAGCCCCTCTCATTCTGTGTGCCTAAAGGTTTGCGCAGCAACAGCAGACAAACCAGAAGCAGCGAGCTCAACTCCCATCTCTGCCACAGATTTATTTCACAAGTTTTTCTTGGGCCTCAAATTATCTCCCAGTCAAATGTGGAGGAGTTTGCCACTTCCTCTGTCATGGACTGGTTTTAAGTTGATTAGGCCTATAAGGACAGTAAGAAACCCTACGGATAAAGTAGAAATTTTCCTGAGTATTGAATAATAATTCCCCAGTTGGAACAATCGCTGAATGCCTTCTCCAGACAACAGCCCTCCAGGATTACAGCATTTAACATCTTTAACATCCTGCTTTCCCTCCACAGGAAGGCACCCATCCGGCACACTGTGCCTCTTCCCAGTCTGTCTGTGTCCCCAGAGGTCTCCTCCCATGCAGCAGGCAGAGAGAAGCGTGCATAGAATGGTATTTCAACCGAGCTATGGAAACCCTGCCCGCCCAGGCTCCCCGAAGAGGGGAGGCTATCCTGCAGAGGGCAGATCAGAGCGATTCAGAGAGATTCCCCTGACTCACCTTCTGGAGAAGCTCCCTCCTCTCTACCAGTGCCCAGAGACCCGGAGGGGGCCACAAGGCCTCAGCCCTGTATCCCGGTGAGATGCACAACGCTGGGGACTCAGTGTTACCCTTCTCACTGAAAAGATGCAACTTTATTCAATTCAAGCTATCGGTCTCGAGCTGCAGAAGGAGGAGGCTGCTCAAAAGCACATTACAGGAAATAATTTGGTAAACCCATGTCTTCAAATATATCTAGACATTTCAGCTGCCCAGATCAGGATACTCTCACCAATCCCAACTGCATATGCTGCTGAGTATTTCTCAGTCAACTATCTCCTCGATGGCAGTCTCAAAATTCATTAGTCACTTTTTGAAAAAGTGCCACAAATCAGAACATGCCCCAAGAACATGGTAATCAAACTCCTCTAGAAAAACACATTGGCAATTAACCAACAGCCTGTTCCCACATGGGATTGACTTCACTGTACAGAGAGCTCGTCGCAATTGCTCTTAAGCAGCAAGGCAGGGGAGCATGTCGAGGGGCAGAGGACGCAGAAAACAATAGAATTATAAAAGTTTGCTTTTGTATTTGTGAAGTACCATAACACCAATCTTCTCTCTTCCTGTCCAGGTACGGTACCTAATTTGTGATTATAACAGATACTCATGATGGTAGAACATAATGATTAAACGCAATGTGAGCAAAGGTCATAGCAATAAGTAAATGAACATTTTGTCGGTTTAATCAGTTTAAAAAACAGACTCCATAGCAGAAACACTGAGATTAAAGCCAACCCATCCATACCCTCTTTTATGGAGGTAACTGAAGCATTTCAGCCTCTGCTTTTTTTCAGCTAGACTCCCAGAAACGACACTGCCCACTCACACCACCTTCACATGCACGCCCCTAGTCTACGCATGGAAGCGCCCCGACACGCCATTTAAGAACCATTGGCAAGGCACGCAGCTGAGTGGCCAGAACGGCAGGAGCGAGAGGGTCGCAGGCCCTGGCATGGGCAGAGACGCTGACTCACTCCGCAACCTTGGCCACCTCCCCTCAGCTGGTCAAACTGTTCATCAGCTGAAAACAGAACTGCACCAAGAAACAGATGCTCAGGCTGAGTTTCGCTCCCCTGGGCAGACTGTCAAAGAGCTTACCAGCAGGATGGGCACAGCAAGAAGGACAGATTGAGAGCCACGTTCCCTGGGCCCATCCTGCCCACCCTGCCAGACAGCTTGAAACCTGAAGGACTCCACTATCAAACATCCTCTCATCCCACCCCTCTCAATTACTTGACAGGAAAGAAAAAAAAAAAAGAAAAAAAAAAGAGGAAGCAACATGGCTGTGACCAAGTTAGTTAGTTTTGTCACTGGGACATGTAGTGATCCATCCAAAGTCTTTTCAAAACTATCCTCTTCCCTTTATTTTCCTTTTTTCCTGCTCACTTGCTTTTTTCTCCTTTCATTACCTCCTTCCACCAGTATAAACTCATGTCCATCCTCTCATTTTCCTTACCATAGCATGATTAACTCCCTCTCACACACTAGCTCTTCTACGTGTGTTTGCATCCCAGTGTGGCAAAAGGCAGCTTTTAAACTTCACAGGCACCTCTGGGCTGCCTCTCAAGGTGATCGGCTCCACTTCCCATGGGGCAGCAAGCACTGGGCCAGCAACAGGGGTCAGCAGGTCCACAGGCAGGTAAATCAGGCAAAACCCACTGAATTCACAGGGTTTGGGATGGGGTGGGGGAAAAGGGTGGGCATGAGGCAGAGAGGAGGTGCAGCACCATCTAAACCTGATGCAGATGCTGTCCAATCTTAACAGACCAGCTGTGGTATCAGACAGTCCAGGAAGGACAGGACACAGGATATCGCAGTAGTCCCTATGAGTCCTGCTTTGCTATGTTGTACCCAAGCATAGGAAATACAGGGTCTACATGTATCAAAATGACTGTACAGGCACAACCACTTTACTTCTGAGTAGGGACAGTCAGCTGGAACTGATGCTAAGAGTGATTTGAGAACAGATCATTTATTTGGATGTCTACATAAAGTTTCCTGTGTTTTCTAAATATGGTTCTGTCTTTCTGTACACAAAAAATAAACTTTATGCAAAAAGGAAAAAATATCCAGAGAATCTTATATCCGCGACACGGACAGCGCAAGTATCAGTGGTCAGACAGCAATCTGCAGACCTATCAGTCTCGCAAGCAGTGATAACAGAACTCTTTAGCAGTTGTTATAAATAACCAAAATAATGAAAGCAGTGAGCAGGAGGCATACTAAGCCTTTACTTATAAGGAGGGCTTGAAATAAGCCTTACAAAGAATCTGCCCAGCTCACAGGCTTGCCTGCCAAGCCCAGGAATCGTTTAAGGCAGGCCAATGTTTAGGAATTCCAGCTGAAGCATGCTCCAAGGAGATGGTGTTCATTTTTCTTTCCTTAAAGTACTTGCAGTACGGCGCACGGATGAGAGAGCAAACAACTTCTTCTTTAAGTGCTACCAGGCGAACCCAGAAATGAAGCAAGATGGGGTTAAAGAAGCTGCAGAGATGTCAGAGAATTCCGTAGGCCTGCGACACAATACCTTAACACCCCTGCTAAGTAATCCTAGAGATAATGATAAAACTAATCTTACCTTTAAAGTTGCCAATGAACAAGCCAGGCAGAATCTGTGAGAAAGAAATATAGTATCAAATATAGATATCTTGTGGTAAGACAATTTGACAAAGTTTAATTTGCATACAGGATGGAACATACTACTTTAGCAAACTATTGTCAAATGCAATCTAAAAAGCACTGACAACATTTTGTGCCTCTTTGCAACCTTCTCAAACTACATCGCCCTAGGTACGCCGTGCTTTGAGAGCGTTTGTTGACAGCTGGGGATCGATAATCATGCGGACGCTCATATAATGGAGGCTCTCCAAGGATAGCAAAAGTGGTTTACAAATACAAAGTGGGCCTCGCAACACCTCCCCCTGCCCTCCACGGCAGGGTAACAGTTATCCTCATTTAACTAATGATGACACTTCATACAGAAAAGGTGATTTGCCTAAAATTGCTAAGCAAGCTGGACAAAACGCTGCAAAAAGACATCCTTCAAGTCTTTTGCAGCGCAAAGCCAGGCAAGTCGGGGCTTGCAGCACCGTAGGGCTCTTTGATAGAGGAAATCACTGCAAACTACGCGTTGCACGTTCACATAGAAAGAGAATTGACGAAAGCCCTCGAGTTGCATGTTTCTCTCCCAGATCTGCCCACTCACCCCAACACACCCAGAAGCCTGCACAGGTCTCAGTTACAGGACTTTCTTTAACTGCGGAGTTTCAAGGTCAGCCTGAGCACCGGCCTGTGCAGTCTGAGGACACGTGTGCACACACACACAGGCGGGTGACACTACAGCGCTACTCTTCCCACCCCCTCATAACCTTCACAATTTGGGAACAGCAGAGCAGTAAGAACATGAAAAACCCCCAGGCACACTGAACACACATTTTCTGGCCAAGAATTTTGTCCTCTGCCACCTGAAGTCTCTGACCCATGCCCACACCCTCTGAAGAGACCAGAACTATAGTGGTGAAACCATATGACCCATTTCTCTTCAGTGCATGCAGAGCATACCACCAATACAGATATGTCAGCACTGACTTCCTAAAGCCTTAGCAACACCCAAGTGTCACCACAACAGCAGCAACAGTCTCTTGGGCGCAGCTATTTAAAGGGAAAACTCCACCCATTTTGCTCGGTCCAGCAGCCGCAAAGTTCCGAAAGTCATGAAGGACTTTTCATCGGGGA